TATCTACTCTTCTATCTGTCGATCAGTTCATCCATCCATCCATCCATCCATCCATTATCCATTCATCAATCCATTACTTAGGCATTCTTTTATATATTCATCCATTCATCTACCCAAGCCACCTACTATTCATCAGACAGATGGTGAAGGCATATGATAGTCTTGGACTCATCTCGGTATTACAAAGCTGTGAAAATAATTTATGTCTTCTAGAAGCGCAATCTCTAAGTAGGGAAACAGGCTAAATAGAATCTTTTAAAAATACTGTAGACTTCCTGATAGAAATACATTTTCACCCTCCCAGTGGTGTAATCATAATGAATGTGTATTTTTGTATTTAAATACTTACTCTTAATGACAATGCCAATCTCTCTTTTGGCAACAGACTATCCTCTTCCTGTATTCGTCTAACTTATAATAATGACTTATAATGATATGCTTTAGAAATGGAAGTAAGAAATGTAGAGGCAGGTTTTAACATAAAGTTAAGGAGCTACTGGAATGTAAGAATTCAGTTGGGGCACATATATGAGAATATACTGGTTTTAGAAATACATGCTATCTGTTTGTTAGTAGTAGGACACCAAACGACTTGTTTCTTGAGAGTAGAAGGTCAGGTGTGGTTTCTTAACTAGGAAGTGCAATTATTTATATTTTTAAATAGTATTAGTTCTGTTAGGAGCTGCTTTAGGCAGCAACTTCAAAGGAAGCGCTCTCTCTCTCTCTCTCTCTCTCTCTCGTGTGTGTGTGTGTGTGTGTGTGTGTTATGTTTGTGTAGGGAGGTCTGGATTGTCTAGTCAGACCTGACCTCTCAGATCTAAATGTAATTTCATTGTCTGAATGAGAAATAAGTTACTGTGTTCTTTTTTTCTGGCTGAATGAGTCATTTTCCCCCTGCTTTGTTTATTAAACATCAAGTCTTTATTTGCATTTTAATTGAGAAAGAAGACAAGTGTTGGCGATGAAATTTGAATGTAAACTGGAACTATTTGCTGTTTGAAAGAGTAGTGTTAATGTAAGCCTACCTGCTGATTATAATTTTAAGCTTTTATTTCAGTACTTTCTATTTTTTTCAGAAGATTTATTTTTATGTGAATAAATGTTTGCTTGCATGTATATCTGTGTACCATGTGTATGCCTGGTCCCTGTGGAGGCCAGAAGATGACATCAAATCTTCTGGAACTGGAGTTACAGGCAGTTGTGAATGGTCATATTTGGGCTGTAAACCAAACCTGGGTCCTCTGTAAGAGCAACAAGTCATTTTAACTGTTGAGCCATCTCTCTCACCCCTGTACATACTTTTTCTTGTTGAAGAATAAGACATAACTGATTTACATTAATATAAAAAATAGTATAATGCTTGATAAACTCATGCTTGTATCCACCTACCTAATTACCAATCAGCTCCAGATATAGAACATTGGCAACGTTTCAGAAAGTTCCTCAAGTTCCTTCTTAGTCAATATTCATACCATGCCTGTGCCTTCAGCAACAATAACTACTGCTTTGATTGCTGCGTGGATTTCCTTCACCTAATTTGAGATGGCAGATGAATGTGTTTTTGTTTTAATTTTTACCTGTGAGATTCACCAATGTTTTTCTCATTTTTAATTTACATACAAAATTTGCATTATGCATGTTAATTAGGTACTTTAGAATGTTCAATCCATATATTCATTGTATTAATGTTATGCATGTATTCATCTACTCAAATATTTACCATTTCTTTGTGGTTTAAGTTTTCTAAAGCCTTTCTTCTAGCATATAACAATTGCCTGTAATCATAATAGTGTGCAGTACTGGTTTATCTGACCATAACTTAGTGCTTCATGCCCATGAGTGTGACTTAGTTCCCATTGATCAATCTTTTCCCATACTTCTTTCTTCTGTCTGTAGCCTAATAACCACCATTTTACTGTCAATTTCTTGAGATTAACTTTTTCACACCTCATAAATCACATCTACATTATGAATCTTTTTAGAATTGCAGTGTTGTGTTTTATACAATGAATGAGTTTGACTACTTTCCTGATGTATTGTCTTAGACCATAATGAAAATTAACTGAATCTTAAACCATAATAAAAGTTAACTAAAAAGTTCTATTTCTTTTCATTTATATCTAATAGTTCGTTCTGTCTTCCATGATTTAATAGGTGCTCTTGCTGACAAATCAAGTTAACATTTTTAAAACCTTTATGTGCTCAGCAAAACTGGGGATAAAAGATTTATAAAACAGTTGCAACCAATAAATATCTATAACCCGTATTCTGATATCATAGTCTTATCTGACAAAATTCTTAGGATCTTTCTTAAATTCTATGAAAACGAAATAGCCTACCCCAGTTCTTAGTTATGTTTGTCTACTTTGTTTTGTATTGGCAACAGGAATTGGTTCCAGTGATAGAGCCAGTTAATGATTCGGTCTGTCAATTTAAAAGTTTTCATTCAAAACCTATTGGTTATGATGCTACCAACCATATTCAACATATGCCTCCTCAAAAAGGTTTTGTTCTGAGTCAGGGGATTTTCACTCTTGGCACTACTGATACCTGGATCTGGACCATTCCTTTCTCATTGTGGGGGCTGTTGTAGGATATTTAGTAGCATCTCACTTACTCAGTACCAATAACATATTTATAACCTTACTCCTCAATTGTGACAAATGCCTTTAGGTGTTTCCAGGTGTTCTGTGAAGAGCCAAATCATCTCCAGCTGAGATTCACCATTCTAAAGCCACTACTATTTCCTATGTTATAGTCTATAAACCTTTGGGTGCAACTTCCTGTGCTCATAAGCAGAATCTACCAGATATTTGAAGGGGTGAGGAAAATACAACCCAGACTTACATATGGCTTTCTTATCTACTTGGCTTCATGGAACACACAGACTTCACTTCTAGGAGTGGAGAGTAGTATGAAAAAACCAGGAAGATAGAAATTGACAAGGTTTGGTGATAGCTCCTGATAAGACAGATGAGTCGGCCTTAACAATTCTAGCCAGAGACACTGACATTTGTTTGCCTTTTGTCTTGGTTGCTTGGAAGACTGAGACAGAGGAAGATCCCTTGAGTCTGAAAGTTTAAAAGCTAGCCTTGGTAGTATGGTGAGCCCCAGTCTTAACAATAAAATTAAAATGTCCCAGCTTTGAAGATCTTATAGTGGTTTTTCAATCGCTTGAAAATTCAAGAACTGAGACCACCAGAGTTTGGAATTATGCCTTGAGTAATAGGCCTGCAGACACACAAAATCCATATGCTCCATTTAATTATGAGGTTTCCATCAGGGCTCCAACTGCCATTTGCAGCTGGGGTTTGATCAGAGAAGATTCTGCCTCCAAAATACAGGGGGAGCCAACCCTCAAAACCCCAAAAGCCCAACCCTCCCCCCACAAAATCCCCCAAAACCTTCAATAATGAAAACACAGTGCCCATGACTCTTCATTGTTTTGTTTAGAATTTGCCTTGGTTCCAGGAAGGATTTAAGGTAGATTTCTATCACAACATGTACTATCTTCAGCACTGGATTAAAATTCTGACCAGGGTGGAAATGCAGGGAAGGGAAACCACAATCAGAAGACTTCTCAAAAGAACTCTTCCTCTTCCACCTATGCTTCCAAAAGAACCACCCCTAGCCAGGTAGTCCAGTGAACTCATGAGTTAATTAAAGACTTGGCAGCGTTAGTATGAGAGCCTTGTCTGTCTTGCCTCTGGCCCTCTGTCTGTCTGGCTACCTCCTGGTTAGGAGCTCTTGGCAGTTCCCAAGTTGGGGATGAGATAGATACCTTGGCAGGCTTGTGTGGGCATCAAAGACACAAAGAAGGATCCCATCCCAGTTTCTGGTAATTCTGTCTGTCACTGGGTTTAATGCTTGTGTTCAAAACAGTCCATTTCTCCATCTGTAAAATGGAGATAATCCATCCTCACCTTGCAGTGCTGTTGGGAGGATTAATTAGTTAATGTTCCTCAAGTGCTTTGAAGATGAAAGGCTTGTGGACATGCTAAATAGTATTAAGGGCAGGCAGTGAGTGCCTGTTGGAGGTGCTTTGATTTTCCTCTTGCTCTTGTCAGCAGATGTGCTACTCTAACTTTAATGTGTGTGTGTCATGGAGCAAAGTGATCAGGACAATGTCCTGGCCAGCAGAAAACAAAGACAGTGCCTCCTCGTTTTATGCCTTGGCAGTACTTTAGCTTCCCACTTGGCATGACTTCTGAAAGTCTTTGGTTCACAATGTTTTAATTACCAAGTTTGGGTGATTGTCTAAGGTGAGTTTCATCTACTTTGGGAGAAGGAAGTGGGGTTAGGAGGAAGCATGTCAGGTGGTCTTGAATTGGAAGTCCCCAACGAGAAGGATTTCTTACAGTGGTGGTAAATTGTGCGTGTGCGTGTGTGTTATTAGACAGGTCATAAGCAGACCCAATTGAAAGAGGTACCAAGAGAACAATCTTGGGTATCATTCCTCAGGCCTGTCCACTTCTCTTTTCAAGACAGGATTTTTCATTGACCTGGAATTTACCAACTAGGCTAGATTGGCTTGTCAGTGAGCCCCAGAAATCGTCCTGTCTCTGCCTCTGCAATGTTAGGGTTATAAGAACACATCACTATACCTGGCTTTTTAAAATGTGGGTTCTGGGAGTTAAACTCATACCCTTTCACTTGCAAGGGAAGCACGTTGGCAATAGAGCTGTCGATTTCTTTCTCAACATGGTTTTTCCCTAACCAGCCATTCAGTTCATCCTTTGTGGCCCTAACACTGTGTATTAGGCTGGAGCACTGAGTAAGGAGCTGGATGCAGGACTGGATTGATAAGCGTGTCTACCACTCTTGACCCACTGGCATTTTAAATATTATAATGTTCTTAGAATCCTATAAAGGCATGTTGTTTGTAATAACCACCTTGACCCTGAATGAAAAAAAAATCTAATGCTATCAGGTATGCGCAATAATTTGTTGGTCAGCTTATGATTTTTGAAATTCTTTTTAATTCTCTTATCTAACTTTTAAAAAATATGGAATGCTTCACGAATCTGCATAGCATCTTTGTGCTGGGGCCATGCTAATCTTCTCTAGCATTCCAATTTTAGCATATATGCTGCCAAAATGGGCACTTGTCTAAATTTTTAATTAAAAACTTAGCAGGAAAAATAATGAATTTTATTATGACATTTCAGTACATTATGTACCGTTCTATTATTTTGTTTATCTTTGACTCCCACAATTTTTTCCATCCCTCATTTTCCCCTCTCAGTAGCTTTCTTCCCTCCCTTAGATAGTCTTCCTTGTGTTTTCATGTCACATATATATGTACAGTTAAATCTAGATTCCAAATATGAGAGAAAATAAGGTACAATTGTTTTCTGAGTCTGGCTTTTTTCATTAAACAAGATCACCTCTGATTCCATCTGTTTTGAGAACTTTCTCTGGTGATTGATTTTCGAAATCTTGCCCTAGAGAATAGATGGATTCCTGAATTACATGTTCCAAACCATATTTTGGTAAATTAAGTCACACAAATTTTCTTTTTTCATGAATCTTAAAGAGAATCCTTATATAAAGCAAAGTATTTCATATTATCTCACAGTAACTTATATCTGTTGATTTTTGTCAAGTGTATATGTGAGGTAGAGATAAGGCTAAATCCAAATAGGTGATCCTCTGGAAAGCATTGTGTCTGTACATTTTTATAGAACTTATCAGAGGGTCAGGAAACCAGAGAGAAAGCTGAGAGACTAGTATTTGTAGGTTTTCCTCTTTAAATTGGGTCTGCTTATGATCTGTCTGGCATCCATTCCTCTCAGTTTCTGAAACACAGTTCTCTGGATTCCTTTCTCTCCAAAGTCCTCTTGGCAACCTTCCGAGGAATGGCAGAGTTCATTCTGATCGATGTCCAGTGAGTGGAGCTCAACCAGGATGGAGCTCAACCTGTCAAAATCACAGAGAAATGTCTGTTACATATTCCAGCTGTTCTTTAAATATGCTCCCTAAGAGCTAGCTCCATTTGTTAGTTGTCAGAACGATGTAGAAGAATTGGTCCAGACCCTCAGTTGTCATCAGCCACCTTTGTTTATATGCCAAGTTTTCCCTCCGTTATCCAATCAATGTTTAGTTAAAAGAAAGACCAAGTTAAGAATCTTTCCTAGTGAGTTGTGGCTCCCAGTTTGGGAGCTTTTTTCCATTCCAAAATAGAGGGCATTTGGTTGTCTCTGGTACTAATAGCAGGTGAAGAGTCTGCCTCTCAATATTACTGCTTGTAATCAATTAAGAAGGACTCTATTCAGAGCTCTAGGTAAGATGGATATTAGACCAAAAGATTGCTTCTAAACTTGATTCCCTTTGGATCTCATGGACACAGTTACTAGGAGCATTTTGTGCCGTAGTACATAGGCAGACTTCTTTTTATTATCTCATCTATTGAACTCAACCCAAGCGAGATCATCATGAGGTAGACTGGTTGGCAAGGTGATGGTACTTCTCTCTTTGCTTCTCAGCTATATGACAGGTCATTTTTACCTCTCTAGCACTCAGCTTCCTCTTCACTATAATAAAAGTAATTTAGATCATTAGGTAATTGCTAAGTTTCCTTCTAGCTCTGACATTTCTGCAATTTGATGAGTGCTTAGCTGCTGGGAAATATCATGCATTTCAAAAACTTGGGACCCTTCAAAGTGTCCAGGCACATCAGTTACAGTGACCAACTCATCTCTCCCAATATCCTTACTGGATCTTGGGCTGTTAGTAGTTCTCCATCTCTCTAGGCTTATACCTCCAACATAGATGAGTGGGGCATCTCCAAGTGGCAAGCATAATTAATTAGATCCTTTCATCTGGAGGTGCCAACGCACTTAAAAGGCAACAATCAGTATACATCAGGGCTGTTCTCCAAGGAAGGCTGCCTGAGTGTACATGTTTTACAAGCGGCCTATCATAGTAATGGGCTGAGGATCCAGCATTATTGACTTAGTGACTTATCTCTTGATCAGAAAAGAAACTACTTCTTCATCTTAAACGAACTCCAGCTCTGAGATGAATCTGTTTTATTTTCTGAATCCCAGATTGCATGCCATGTTCTGCTTAGCTATCCCACTGACATAGCTTTGTATATTTTCATCTATCCGAAGCAGAAACTAATATTTTGCTAGTTCCAATGATTTGGTGATATATGTCTAAACAACAAATGTTTTGTCTTTAAATTTCTGTAAAAGATGGATAGCATTAGTTTGTACTGAGGGTTGAGTGTAGATTTCATGGGATGTAGAAGGAGCTAAATCCACTCTCATAAGGAACCTGAAAGAGAAGGGGATGCTGATAGAGAGTGGGACTGATTACAGACATGATCACATTTCTGATGGTACTTAGAGTTTTGCCAAGATATATAGGCCCGTATTTTAGCACCTGCAGAAATATGGGTCTATGGGACAGCCCCCTTCCAAAAATGTGCACATTCACATGTGGAAACTCATGCAAATTGTTATTATGATTGTGTTTATGAGGCTCTTTAACTCTTGAATCAAAAACCCAAGTACTTTACCTACTGTTTGCAGGGTTGATCACCCACCCCTGCCAGCCATCTGGGCTGTGTGCATTCAGTGGCTGCAGCTATAAGGTTGGAGCTATTAAGTCTACCACCAAAAGTACAAGCTATGTGAATGACTAGAAAATAAGTCAATTATTCTGGAATTCAGATTCAAAGTGAAACTATATTTCTTTCTGTCTTATATGAACAACAGGCATGGGCTCAAAAACCTCTTGGCTTCAGACTGTCAGTAAGAAATTCAATCATCTCTATCATTTTTTTTCTTGGACTATTCAAAAATACTTTTAATCTAAATACTTGATTATATCCTTTTCATTTGATGTCTGCATTTTAAAGATTTTTAAAGATTTTATTTTATTTGATGTGTGATAGTGTTTTGTCTGCTTGCATGTATGTGTACCATGTGCATGTCTGGTGTTCACAGAGGCTAGAAGAGGACAGAATCCCTGAGGTTGGAGTTGTATGGTTGTGAGCCACCATGTTTGTGGGTGCTAGAAATTGAACCCCAGTTCTATGGCAGAACAACAAGTGCTCTTAACTGCTGATCTATCTATTCAGCCCCTTGATATCTGATTTTAAGCCACAGGCTTAATTCATTATAGGCATATATTTCCCAGCACACTGTGTATTGTCCTTAGTCTTAGGATGATGTATGGACCAGCAGCAGCACCAGCATCACTTTGGGAGCTTGCTGAAATTGGAGAATCTTGGATCCCTCTTAGTCCATACTAAATCAATCAGAGTTGGTATTTTAATAAGCCCTCAGGTGATTTATATGTACATTACAGCCCAAGGAGCACTAATGTATATTATATATATATGTGCTTTGAGTCTATCTCCATTAAACTCTTTAAATTTATGAAACAATTACTAAGGCGAGGCAGGTGTCCTAAGTGAAGGAACTATTTCTTATTGTCAAGTCATCAAACAACACAGATTTGTTTTTAGTTAGTATGAGGAGCCAACTTTCTATGTTGATTCAAGTGAATGTGTTGGTGTCTATTCCTGGCCAATCTTCTTTATGCATTCTTTGTCTAAAAGTGGTAAGTAGCTGGCTGAGCAAACACACAGATAAGGCACAAAGCTGTGCTATGAATTTGTTAAAATAGACTTGAATATTTCATATTGAAGTGTTCTCTGCTTTACCATTGAGACTCTTAGAACTGATGCTGTCCCAAATGATCCTTTTTGAAGGGGATCCAGGAGATTTTTGCTCATTAGAGAAGACCACATTGGTAAGAGTAAGGATAGTTGAATGATACTCCTTTGTTTACCAAAGTGGAAGAGAGGTTTGTAGATGGGGATGGTACAGTACAAAGAAGCAGAACCCAAAGCCAGAAGCTCAGTCCCGTTCTCTGAACATGGAAGCAGTATCTTTAGAAATGTAATCTCCTAAAGTGACCTATATGCTCACATAGTGTTAGAAGTCTTTGGGGACCCCAGTGATAGACGAGCCACAGTTAAAGGATGCTGAATTTGAGAATAGTTAATGCCGTTTGGGGACTTCCTGGGTTTAGATTTTTTTTATCTCCTTTATGCCCTTTGAATTTGTGTGTGTGTGTGTTGTGTAGAAAAATGCTTTAAACTTCTAATTAATTCATTATAACCAATACTTCTGAGTGTTTTCTTATCTAACCTTTAATTCTAACTTTAATTGAATTTACCAATTATTTATTTAACACCTACAACACATCAGGCCATAAACCAGACCCTGAGGTGACCATTGTAGACATAGGGCAATAGATACTATTCCCAAATGCACACATTTGCAGAATGCTATAGAGAATTTCAAGTGTGATAGGCAACTCCGAAAGTTATCAGTTGATCATTCCCTTAGAGAGAAAGTTCCTATGGAAAAGACAATGAAATCTGCTAAAAATAGATCTACTTGTATGTATTGGGGTGTGCGTGTGTGTTCACAACTTATGTAACAAACCTGTAGTGTGCTTTAATGTTTAAGTCCCTTTGAATGGGTCCACAGTAACATCAGATACTTCTGCGGTAAACTCCAAGGCATGTGAAGATCTTTGCCAAGAATCAAACTCTAGCAAGACTTTCAGAAAGGTCGGATAAGGGGAAATTTACTGGTTTTGAAGCCAGTCTTCTTACAATCTCTCTCTCTCTCTCTCTCTCTCTCTCTCTCTCTCTCTCTCTCTCTCTTTCTCTCTCTCTCTGTTTCTGTCTCTCTTCCCCTCCTTCTCTCTTTCTTTCTGTTTAAGTCACATGGACATACACTATTTTTTTATCACCCATTAAGCATGTATCCTGATAGAAGAGAGAAATAAGCAAAGGCTTGCTGGAAGAGAAATCAGAGCTATTGGAACACCATGGCTATCCTGTACTGAGGAACAAGCACCAAATATATGCTAGGAAAAGATACAGACCAATTCTGTAGTCCTCTGCACTGTGGCCCTGGCTAAACTGTTGACACTGATCCTGAGGTTAGGCTTTTGCTGAGTTACTACTACCATAGTAATTGTATAGTGGTCTCTCCCATTTCCTGTTTGAGGTGCTCTTTTGAGTGTTTGATGTGAGAATGTTCTTCAGGTGTCATCAGAGAACTCACCATTGTTG